TCCCTTTGTTTATTTTCTTGCCTTTTACAGCTCTTGGATTAGTCATAGCATTTTTTTTTTTTTTTTTTGTAGTTTGTTTGTTCTTACTATCAAAGAGAAATTTAATTATTTAAATAAAAAAATATATACAGAAATTAAGTTTATTTTTTTTTTTACAACTGTCTTCATTATAAATATCTAGTGCCGTACCCGCATCATGCGACTTTCAGTTACCAGTAGAATTAGGTATTAATCTCGCCATGTTCCATAACAAATTTTAAATTAATTAATATGAACTTAAAGCTCATTATATAAGCAAGATTTTCTGAAACTGGGCTAAGTATAGTCGAGTTGAAAATTAATAAAACCAAATTGGAAACAATCCATGATCTTATCAAAAACAGAAGTCAGCGGGTTAAAAGTTCTCTTGAAATGGTATCAACTTCGACAAAGCTCTTATATTTTAAGTAACTTTTGTCCAATTAACTGTGCAGCAGTTATTAATTTCAACCATTTTTGATAATTAATTTTAGTGATATTTTTAGTGTGAAAATATATACCTTTATTAGCAGTTTTATATTTGAACACTCCAACCACCTTCTCTGGAATCAACTTACTCACCGTCTGTTGAGATGTTATAAATTTTCCAACTTAGAAATATTGTTAAAATGACTTTACTCAAAAATGTCCTTAAGGAAACCAAAATATTTCACTTTTCACTTACCGGTAGAATTAGGTGTTTTCTTATTTTTCGAATTGGAAGTAAAAATTATAGACGTTTTACCATACTCATTTAGAACAATTAATTTCCATAAAAAAAAGTTATTGTCGGGTTCAAAATCTTATAGAAAATATAGATTTAAAGAAATACACGGATGATAAATAAAAAAAATTTAAAAATCTAGTTGACTAGGCAAATTAAAAAAAACATGTTTAAATTAATAAAACTTAAAAGTCGATACTTTGTAAAAAATTATGAACTTCGTCCAAAACATTGACTCGAAAAAAAGTTAATATCGGTATATATATATATTATAGATTATGCATATATCAGCAGATCCTAAACATTTCACCTGAAAATTTATTTTTAAGATTATTTTCAAGCGAAAAATGTAAGCAGTTAAATTAATTTAAATAATAATATAAAAAATTGTTTGCAGATGTGGATCGTTATAATGGATGCAGATCGGTTTAAGTCGGGCGCCCTCGGCTGTTTCCGATATTTCATTTTCTATCTATGACTACTTCTTATTTCTTCTATTGTTAATTATCATATTAGTTCATAGTTTATATTTATCTATTTTTATCACTACTATAGTTACAATTTGGAATGGTTAATTATTTTAAACAAGAAAAATTGAAGGTACTTTAGAGGAAGAAATGTTGATAATTTAGCATTTAAGCCCTGTTAGACCATGTTATTGAAGATAATACCTGCCTGATGTAAAATACTATTTGATTTTACATTAAATCAAATTTGTTGGAGCCGTTTTTGGTAAAATTGTGCAAAATGTACGTTATTTCAGTTTCGTATCGCTTTCTTTTTTTGTTGTTCACATACACAAGCCATTTTGCGAATGTAGGTTTTTTGGGTTTAGGGAATCCTAAAACGAGTATTTCCGATGAAAATTCGGATTCGAAATTTTTCACGATCGCACTTCTTTCCCTTACTATACGTTTCATATGGCGAAAACAATATGTATATATTGAAACTGTTTATTAATTGTTTTTTTTTAATTTTCATAATCTTCAAAGTTTGGATGTGGTTGAATTGCAGCTCTTATAATGTACCTCAGTTTTATTTCATTTAGGAGCCTGCCCTCCGGTTTACCTTGACAACATTCAACTTTCTGCTTCCTTAGACCGCTTAAACTTGGTCTGATGTTCGAAAGAAGAAAGTCACGTGTCTGAGCAATACTTTTGGCAGTATTACGACGAATGGTTGTATGGTTCATGAATAACGTTTCTAGTGTATACAACAAAAATTATAATAAAAAAATGGCAAATTTAAAACAAATATACGTAAAACTATTTGTCATTGTTTGAAGTCTCTTCAAGTGCCTGCTTTTCCCGATTCTTGATGGACTCGTGAGTTGGACATATTCCAAGAGTACCTCACTGTCACTCGACTCGACGAGTAGCCGCTTTCGTTTTTTTCTTGAATCGGTGTCAAGAGGTCCTTGCAAGAGGTTGATGTATGAAAAGGACTGGAAACCAGACGCGGTACAGTCTCTTCAGCTCACGTTTCGCAGGAAACTTTCGGGTTTAGCGACCTTCGGGGGTGGACGACTGGTTTGAGTGCAATATAACGATAAAATTCCGGTTCCTAAATTTTTGTTTAACACGTTTATAACTTTCGCAAAATTCTTCCCACTTTCCCAATCGGACTTGATTTGTTTTAAGGGAAGAACCCTGTACAAATGGAGTCTATCACAAAATAACAAACATTATTATCCTTATGGAAACACAAATCGCTTTCAATACTGCATAACAGATATTACAACACTCTTAAGCATAAATTATTTTTTTTGTTTTCTATTATTTGCAAATAAATACATTCTGCCTCATTGGAGGTCATTAATATTAGGGCTACGTTAAAATTTCACACATTATATACATACAAATGATAACTAAAATAGAGATAAAATAAAAGAGTTGTCGAAAGTAAAATAAGAAAATTAACATACATATGTAAAAAAAAAAAAATGTAGAGAGAAACTTAATGAAATTAAATATATATAAAACACATTCACACCTATATTTACATTAGCCCAAGGGATTCTGAGTCATGCTTTGTCACCCAAATGTAGAAGCCAAGACAGGACTCCAGGAGATCCCAGTGTTTCTCTTCACGTAACTGGTAAATTAAAAAATATATTCGGTAAAGGTCAAACATTTAAAATAGTTCCAATTATCAAATTAATATAAATTCTAAAATTGTCAATAATATACATAAATAAATACAACTAAAACAATAAATAGACATTTTTTTTTAAATCTTAATATTAAACTATTAAATGATTACCCCTATACCTAAGCGAACAGACGAGAAAAATACCCGGCCAGATTACATGCCGATGTCCAATATGGAATTTTTGCCATATTATGCGGAGGACAATATTCCAGATTACCCTACCAATTCTCTATAATTAGATATAATTTAGATAAAAAAATATATAATTTTCTCATATCTTCTGCACTGGTTGGCTTAAATATTTCTCTCCCATCAAGATTTCCCATACCTTTAAACCTACTATAAATTGCACTTTTAAATGATATATGATTAAGTGTTTCCTTTTCTTTAGTGTTGCACATTTTTCACTCAAGTTTTGGAGTAATTTTCACAATTTTATTATTAACAGAAATCTTGATCATATATTTTCTCGAGAGACGGATCTGCATTAATAGTTTCGTTAGTATTATCAGGAATTGAATAGGAAGCAAGCTTACAAACAAGAGGGTTGGGATGGTTATGAAGTTTATTATGGAAGGATAGATATCTGGATTGGGCCAAATCTGAACTGCAGTGGGAAACGTCGAGCTGTTTCTTGTCGTTTCAGTCTAGTATGAGGATTCCAAGTTAGACGTTTGTCCAGGTGGAGTCCTAGGTAACGGATTTGTTCAACAGGAATAAGTGAGGTGTTGGTAAAGGATACTGAAGGACAGAAAGTCATTGGTTTACGAAGGAGAATTTTACAATGGATTTTAGATTGTATGGATTGGATGCGAGAAGAATTCGTTGGCTTAGTGGAGCCCCAAAAATCAACTCTATCAAGCGAAGTAAAGAATCTTTTATAATTAATTGGAAGCTTAGAACGCTAAGTGTTGAAGTAGCCGGAAACGTCCAGCATTTTTTTTTTTTTTTTTTTTTTTTTTTTTTGCAGTTTGTAAGGATATATAAGGAATCCAAGTAAGACATTTGTCCAGATGGAAACCTAATTGGCATACCTGTTCAATAAGGACAAGTGAAATATTCTTAAACGATACTGTCAGGAAGTCAGAGGTTTGCTATGAATAGTAAAGGTGATTGTTAATGATTAAAATCCATAATCAGAATAGATACAAAAAGATAAATTAATGAAATCAGATAGACCTTTAGCACTTTCTTAATTATTATTAATCCTGAAATGAATTATCCAGAAGGCTCGCCCTTAATGGGATGATTTCCTGAGAGCGAGGCTTAGACTTGAACACGCAGGTCTTCCCCTCCTAAAGGAGTTGATGATGATTAATGTTCCCCATCACGGACTAACCCTAACAGGAATCGTAGTTCTTTCTCCATCTATCCATTTGCATAAGGAATAGTAAGTGGAAGGAAGTATTGTGTCTCTGAGCATATTATAGAGCTCATAACTGAATAGCCGTTTGAATAAAGAGATAACTAACAATGATTGATTGTTACATGCTTGTAAATGCGCCTAAAATCATAACAATAAAAACGCAAAAAGGCTTTAATTTTTCTGATGCATGTTTGCTAAGATAATAAGTTTTATGAAAAGTGGAAGGGACGAAGCTAAGTCACGTTAGTGGAGACTCGGGACATGGCATGTCAGTGCCTAGCTCATACCGTTGAGTGTCATATATTTTTTATAATAAATATTATTTCCAGCTTCAAAACTTCTATCCAAGAAATATTTTATTTTTTTCTTTCACCCTGTGAAATAAAAGTATTTGCTTTAAAATTTATTTTATTAGCTTTTATGAACGGATTTCTATAAAATATAGCTGAGAGAAACTTTATTTGCGTTGTATGTGGCCGTATACGTCACGCCGCAGCGGACTCAGTTCACACCTCTAGTCCCCACCGTACTGAACTTAATATTTTACCATGTAGTTATATATATTTTTTTTCTCATCATGTTCATTCCGTTACTGATTCCGGCTTTTAATTTTAATATTTCTTATTCTTTTTTTATATATTTATAATTGATTTTTATTTTTATATTTATTGTTTAATGAATATTTTTTTAACTTTTATTGTGTAGTTTTATTAAATAAATGTTTATTTTTTTGTTATTTAGGAGACTGAGGAGGGCTCGGTTGGTATGGAAGTGGTGAGGCAGGGCGAGGAAGACAGAACCCCTCCTTTCCACCACATCCTGAGTGAGCAAGCTAAATCCCTTATCGCCCTTCAGGTACGTGATAATTATATATATATATATATATATATATATATATATATATATATATGTAATATTAGCTTATCATTTTTTTTTTTTTTTTTTTTTAATATTACAACATTCTGTCCCTTGGACATTAGTTATAGTAGAGGTAGTATCACATTCACAATATATGTACAGAAAAATATTTTTAAAAAAACAGAAGTAAAATGACAATAAGTAATCAAAAAGTGTATAGAATAAATAACTTAAATATAAGGAAACTAAAAAAAAAAATCAAAAAACAAAACATACCTATATACACTATTAGCTTATAACTAATTTGTATTTTAAAAAAATATTGATAATAATTTTTTATGAGAAGGGGTTGGTTGGGAAGTGCGGTCAAATAAATACTAATTTTTTTAAAAATAGTATATTTAATTGTTATGCCGACGTTTCGACCCCCCTTGCACCTGGCGACCGAAAAACTTGTGTCGCTATATACTGCAGCGCCAAAACGGCTATGACGATTTTAATGAAACTTGGTTAAAATCTTCTTTTAAAGCTTTTTTAATTTATGTATAGATCATACTTTCTCGAAGAGAGGTTGGAAAAAAAGTAACGACGAATTTAGAATTTTATTTGTGAACAACTCAAAAAGTACTCAAATGACACTGGACTGTATTGTATTGTAAGTAGATATAAAAGTGTATGTACAAATATATAAGAGTAGAAAAAAATAATTTGGAATCTTACAAATTAATATATGTTTTCCTCAAATTTCCCATAATATAATATTATGTTCGAATTTCGACCTCTGGGTGAACAGTAGCAAATATGCAATCGCGAACTAACTAAACTACAACTAACTAAAAACTACTTAAATCACATATATATATATATAGGCAAAATTTATATACACAAAACATGTAAACGTCATCAACAGTCTCAATAAGACACTTTTATTTTTTATACACGCGTTGTAGATCCACAAAAAAAGAACTAGAAAGCGGATTCATTTCAGCTTTCTTGATCATTTTTCTTCCGGTTATTTATTTTATTTTTTAAAATGTTATTAAACTGTCGTACAGAAGGGAAGAATGCGATTTATTAACTAATCTAGTTTTCTAAATCTACGGTCTGATTTCAGAGGCATGCAGTAGCACCATTTACTTATACCATTGAAGAATGATTGAGGTTTTAATTTAAAAAAAAATATTGACCGGAAAAAGTTTTTTCATATCCTGACTTTTTGATAAACTATGGGATATAGTAATTATTAAAAAATCTTCACCTTTATTTTTTTTCTCTTAATCCTGTTAGTCCGTGGTACAGAATTCTTTTTATCGAATTATTGACATCCACCTAAAACTTTAATTGCTCCATCTTATCGAAACCTGTTTTTTTTTTAATAGATAAAAAAAGCCATCAATAATTAAAAAATGTGCAGTTGTTATTTTCGATATTTATTAAATACTTTTTTGAAAAAGAAATTATAGTCCGTGGTACAGACCCCTTTTTATTAAATTGTCAACATCCGTTTCGAACCTTAAACAGGTTCATCTCTTCGTGATTTACAAATATTTTATTTGAGTAAATTCTTGGAATTGAAGAGAAGAATAGTTGGGGTGTTCAGTCAAAAAGGAAGGCAAAAATAAATGATAATATTTATTTTTTACATATGCCGACGTTTCGACCTGAAGTTCAGGCCTTCATCAGGGCTAAGAAAATAACCAGATAACAAGGTATGAGAAACATAAGTAATGATGGAAAAAAAAAGATAATAAAAAATAAAAAAATAAAATAAAAAAAAAATTATTAGAAAAATAAAATAGATAAATATAAAGTAAAATGAAATTGTTAGAATAATGACTAAGAACTAAGAGATAAATAATAAAAACCGTTACAAAGTGTGGAATGATGAAGTAGGCATAATCAAAAAGGGGTGACAAAAGTGTTACAATGGGAATCTTAGAATAAAATGTAAAACATAAAAAAGAAATATAAAGTTATATAAGAAATGAAAATAAATAGTAAAATTAAAACATTAAAACATTATTCTAACAATTTCATTTTACTTTATATTTATCTATTTTATTTTTCTAATAATTTTTTTTATTTTATTTTTTTTTTATTATATTTTTTTACCATCATTACTTATGTTTCTCATACCTTGTTATCTGGTTATTTTCTTAGCCCTGATGAAGGCCTGAACTTCAGGTCGAAACGTCGGCATATGTAAAAAATAAATATTATCATTTATTTTTGCCTTCCTTTTTGACTGAACACCCCAACTATTCTTCTCTTCATTATCCACGACAGTCAACCAATTATCAATTATTATTCTTGGAATTGGTTTTCAACCTGGAGATCGGCAAACTGTCTATTTAATTAGGTACCCATGAATATCGATTTGCTTTCCACTTGAATCGTAAAATAATATAAAAAAAGTAAAAAATAAAAAGGTGGCCTACAAAAATATCGGACCATTTGGCCTATATTATCTAGTTATTTTGACATTTTGAGGATGGAGGTCACGCCAAAAAGCCGGATATTTTTGTGGACCTTTTCTATTTTCTGAAGATATCATCTTACGATTCAAGTGGAAATCAAATGGATATTTACGAGTTTTAGTACCTAATTGATTAGACAAAGTTAGGCAATTAAAATTTCGCAAATAAAATAAGAAGGTATATTCTTAACATATCTAGTACATTATCCTAGTATCTGAGGAATATTCAATAGTCCATGTTACAGACCACTTTTTATGAAATTATTAATATTCGCCTGAAACTTCGTAAATAATTTCGTCGCATCGTAACCTACAAACATTTTTTTAAAGAAAATTCTCGGAATTGGGGCGTTTTCAATCTGGAGATCTTCAAACTTTGTTGATTTAAATAGGTAAATACGCTAAAAACTCGTAAATACGCGTTTGCTTTCTACTTAAATCGTAAGATAATTTGAGAACAAACTCGAGAAAAAAGGTGACCTTCAAAAATTTTGAATTTTGTGGTGTGGCCTACACCCCCAAAATTTCAAAATAAAGATTTCGCATAGACCAAACGGACCAATATATTTTATCGATTATGTGATAAAATTATCTTATGATCCAAGTGAAAAGCAAATGGGAATATATTCATGAATTTTTAGCTGATGTTAATAATTTCATAAAAAGGGGTCTGCACCACTAGCGGATCCAGGATTTAATTTTGGGGGGGGCTTCAGCCCGAAAGCTTTTTTAAAAATAAAAATAACGATAATTACTTTGGAAAATAAGAAAAATACTAACTACCTATATGAACTGGTGTTTAAGTATTCCTAAAACCCTTTTAAATGTAATTACACGCATGTTATACTTCAAGAGGTAATTTTGTAATATTTTTTTCGATAAAACATGGTTATGTTTTACTATTTTGGGGGGGCTTCAGCCCGAAACCCCCCCTCCTGTAGATCCGCCCGTGGTCTGCACCACATACTAATATTGGTTACTATTTTGCCTTAATTTTTATTCACAAAAACAACTTTTTTTTTTCTTCTTTTTATGACCAGTATTTATCTTGGTCTTGCCACAATTAGGCAGTGCAAGTCCAAGACCAATTTCGGACAACACTAGTTAGCATGTCGAACTAACCTTCGGTTTCCCAACCTTATGTAACTTGACGGCGCCTATGTCCGGAAGAGCAAACATTGCATAGAGTGCATTCGGAAATATTCAGGTCGAGGATAACCACTTTAGTTGAAAATACTTTATTAAAAAAAAAAAAAAATGAAGTTAGCCTTAAGGTTTCATTTTAAGAACAAGGAGACGACACGAACTCCAATGTGCAGCAATGACATGGCCAAGTTTGGAGAGGCCATCGAAGGACGCTGCAAGATTCTTTCAGACCTTCGATTTATAGCCAAGAGAGATTAGTTCCGCTTTGAAGCCTAAGCGGCATTTTATCTAATGAGTTCTTCCTTGCAAACACATCCGGTTTTGACTTTCAAGCATCGACTTTTGTTAATAATATCGTTTTACTTTTTTTTTTTTCTGAATCGCGGAGTGAGCTGATGATTTGCGTAATGGTATCCTGTTACAAAAAATAAAATACTGTACTCCTTACGAAATATTATGCCGGTTCTTTCTCCAAACTTTCGCCTAGCACGTCTGTGGTCGCTGCACCATGCGTCTATCATTATAGTTGTAGAGTTTTGTTTTTTTAAAAGTTATATGGTACATTGGGTGAGAGTTGTTGAACTAAACTTTCCAATGGTTCGGACAAATGGACGGCTTCTTCTTAATTTTATATGTCGTTATTATTTTTTCCAATTTGCTTGAATTCCCTTCTTGTGATTGATTTTTTTCCTTCCAAAGAGGAAAGTCCCGTGCACCTTTGACCCGGTGAAAGCAAATTGCTTTAGAGATGTCAACCGATAATGAGATCTCGAAGTTTCGTGCTTGCGTCATGAGAAATAATCCGACATTCTTTTCTATATTGGTTTGAGGCTTTGAGGCAAACGTACGAGCTGGATTAAATGAAAGTGGTGTAGTTTCATTTGAAATAGTTTTGACTGAGAAATAAAAGTAAAGGTACAATATTCAGATTTATGTGATTATTTTTCGGAATCCTTACCAATAAAATAAATTCGTAAGAGTCAGTATAGCTCCATCACCTTTTCTACTAGTTATATAATCAACCATTGTGATCGACCAAAAAATTCAAAAACTTGACCGCCTCTCAAAGAGGTTTCAGGATGCGTAGAATTCGAAAAACGAATAAGAATTGTTTTGTCCATCCGCCGTCCGCGCATTTTCTCCGAAACTACTGGACTTTTTTTTTTCAAATATAAAATCAGAGGTCACCCGAGGATGATCCTCCTTCGTCTGCATTAATATCCGTCTTTTACAGCCAAAATGGCGGCCGGAAAACCTGCGTTGCTATAGACTGTAGCTCCTAAACGAATGTACCGATTTCAATGAAGCTTCGCTAAAGTCATTTTCTCGACGCCCTTTAAATTTATCTATATAACATACTTCAACGAAAAGAAGCTAGAAAAAAAGTTACGAGGGATGGTAAAATTAAATTCCGAATAACTCAAAAAGTTTACACTTTTTTGTGGATATTGTATGGTTATTTAAAAGTATACGAAATTTTCTAAAAAAACAAAAAAATCGGACTACTAGGAGCAAAGATATGGTCTCTAGATGTTTTTTATATGTTCTACTGCAAAGGTTATATCCTTTGTTTTTTTTTTTGTTTTTTTAATTTCGAATGTGTTACTGAAGTAATGCTATTTTTTTAGCATATTACTAATGATTAAAAAAAAAGTTTAGTCCAATAATTGGAATCACCTTTTATTTATTTTTCTTTGTAACTGGGAAGGTAATGTTACTTTAGATGTATAATTGTTTGGAAATATTAACCCATTGTGAAATAATTCGCAGCGTTTTTTGTTTGAGAATTGAATCTATGGGAGGAGCCGGTTTTGAAGTAAAAGTCTTTTCAAAGAAAAACGCACCCCTAACCGAAAGAAGTTGATGAAATTTTATGAAATCTAAATTGGACCAAAAAGTTGTTATACAACTATAGAAATGTAACAATTTTAGAACTTATATATGAATAGAAAATAACTTTATTCTTAGACGAAGTCCCTCAAGAATAATACAATGATACAGAAAAAAAAAAAGAATTACTTCTGGTCAGAACTATTACATACTATTACCATATGAGCCTTTAAGCTGACAGAATGACTCAAATTCCAACAATTTTGAGTAAAGTCATTTTAGTCATATTACTACTTAGCAAATTTATAATATATGTACGGACTATAAGTAAATTTATTCCAGAGTAGATGATTGCAGTGTTGAAATATAGAACCGTGAATAAAGGTATGAAATTTCTCCCACTAGAAATCCTCAATCGGGTAAAGTGCAATTTTTTGAACTTATATTTGACAGAAGAATGACATGGAGCACCCACACCATCAACAAATAAATAACGTTCCGTAAACTAAAAATAAAAATATCCGTATACTTCAGAATTAAAAATAAAATTTTCCTATCGTAAAAGAAATAAAAAGAATGCAAACCGACATACTTCATGTCCTTGTTAATGATTGATAATCTTCACTGGCGCCTGATAAGAAAACATTTGCGCAGTAGTATTTGGGTTGTTTCTTTTCACATATAATACACTACATAAATATATAATTTACATAAAAACTTTAAGTATAAAGTTGAGCTATTTATGCTGATGTACGTATTAATATATATTATATTTCGTTATATCAATAGCATACCTAACTCTTCAATCACACATCTCAAACCTTGGAGAATGGTGTCAAAACTGGAGGATTAAAATAAACTCAAATAAATCCCATCAAATCACCTTTACCCTTCGTCGTAAACCAATGACTTGCTGTCCTACAGTATCTTATAACAACACCCCACTTATCCATGTTGAACAAATCCGATACCTTGGACTCCACCTGGACAAACGTCTCACTTGGAATCCTCATACTAGACTGACACGACAAGAAACTGCTCGACGTGTTCTCTTACTCCAACACTTACTAGACAAATGCTCTAAACTTCCAATTAATTATAAAAGAATCATATACATGACTATAATAAGACCTATTTGTACTTACGGAGTTGAGCTATGGGGCTCCACTAAACCATCAAATTCCTCTCGTATCCAATCTTTACAATCCAAAATCCTTCGTAAAATCCTCAATGCTCCTTACTTTGTCACAAATAAAATAATCCATAAAGACCTCAATGTTCCATATGTTTCCGATTTGGCCAAATCCAGATACCTATCCTTCCATAATAAACTTCATAACCATCTAACCTTGCTTCCTCTTCGATTCCTTATAATCCTCCGAGGCGTCGCAAAAGAAGATGGCCGCGTGATCTTCTTATGTAGACATATTATTAGAATGCTACCTATGGGTAGTTTCTCAACAAGCGTTTTCATGTGATTTCACATTTACTTGATGTATTTATATTAATACAGTTGTAAATATCATAAATAAAAAAATCTTTCATTCAGTGAATGTCCAAGTGGAGTAATGTAGGTGGGCCAGTTTCGCTGTTAGTAATAAGACATTGCGGTCGATTATGATGAAATTTTCATGGTTAAATGAAAACCTATCCTCTATAATGAGAACCACCGATTGAATATAGGGCCAACTGCGCGACGAAGGCCAACGGATGTGTTGCCCAACCATATGAATAATAACTTTCCACATGAGTTTTGGTCTTGTTTATAGCTTGGGGAGTTGGGATATTTTTGTCGAAAATTGTTGTTTTGACTGGCCAAGAGAAGTCATTGGCGCCGCCATGTAGGAAATATTGGTGAGGCCAAGGTTACTGTAAGACGATAACGTTGTTCAATGCATCTGAGAAGAGAGGGGATTGAACGTCATACATGACAGAGTAGCTCAATCATGAGTTTATTACCTGTAATATAATTTAGTTAGTATACCTTAGTGAGGAATATCGCATTAGATAGGTATGCTTCCCATTAGCAAACTCGACATTAACAAATACTAGTTGGGCCCGTCCGAAAAATTCGCAGAAAATTTTGTTCAGTGAATAAATAACAAAACAACATTGAAATAAGTAGTTCCTATGTATTATGTAAGGAAGGAATTAATATTTTTTCCTATGTCGATTACAATATTCCATTAAACATAATAGACAAAAATATTCGTACAAATTGCTTTGCTAGGACTTATTTTTAAACGCTGACTGGAAAGATAATAAAGACAAAATAATGTACCGATCATAGGATATTCTAAATTATTAAAAAAAAATTAAATGCAATAATAACCAAATGTCTTTAAGAATTAATAAAGTTAATATAAAAGCCAGGAAAAAAATATATTAGACTATTCTACTCCTAAATGCAATATCTTTTAATTGGAAGATATTATTAAGTATAACAAAATTAATGGACTGTATCTTTGTTAATAATGGTCCGATTTTTACGATTTTTTTTTTTGTTTTGTAGGTAATTAAGTAATCTTCCTAATTATCATGGGTACATTTACAATTTGAGTTATTCGCAAATAAAGTTTCTTTTTCTTCATAACTTTTTTCCCTTTAATTTCGGGGGATAGGACTATTTTTCGCATGTGAAGGAGAAGAATATCTTCAAAAATGAGTGGTGAATCATTGGATTTCATGAAGAATTGACAAAGTTATGGCGTACCAACCAAAAAAACACCTTTTAGAAATAATATATAGGATAGATTTGCTAAATATTTTCGAGTTATATATAAAAATAACTTATGGAAGCTACATAGGTGCGAATTTTGGTTCGATATTGGTTGCAGGATACATCACGTTCCTTTATTCATTCAATGAATCACCAATAGCTCAGCAGTTCTATCGGCTTTGCATAGAAAAAATGCATACTTTTTGAGTTATTCGCAAATAAATTTTCTTTTCCTAATAAATAATGTTGGAAAGCTGAATTATCGCACTTCAAGACAGTATAAATAAATTTTTGATTTAACAGATCTATAGAGAGTAAATAAATAACTTGAGTTTTAAATTATTTAGGGGAAGGTACAGTTTGTGTCATTTCGTGTAGTTTATAAGGTCGTATATCCCTGCAAAATTTCGTGTGAATAGTTGGAAGAATATTGAAGTTATAAAACTTTTAGGTTTTTATTTTTAAAACCTAGAAGTTTGTTAAATATTCCATGAAGACGATATCATGTTTCACGACTTTCGGCAAGAATTAGCTTTAGAACGCAGGGAAACTTCTTATGAAAAGCACGTCAAAAAATTTGCCTTAGGACTTGTCAAAACAAGTCCTATTTTAAAATCGATTATTTAAATGATCATTACAAAATAAATTAAAACTGGATTCGAACCGCAAAATAATATTCTTAGTGGAACTGAAGAGTTATACTACACTTGAACTTAATAGCCATTTGGCTTAATAGTTTTAGAAAAAAAAAAAAGAACTTAGTAGTTTTATAAAACTTTTTTTTTTTTTTTTATTGAAAAATATTACAATCTGTCTCAAGGACATTTATAATAGTGTTCACAGATCACATTCACACTCTATGTACAGTAAATAAAATAAATTATACAGAAAAATAACATATGTACAATAAATAAGAATAAAATAACCTAAAAATAGACAAATAAAAAGAACACATACATACCTATATACAATAATAAAACTTAAATGAACATAATCGTTTAATAATTGTCCTAATCCACGGGTCCGCGATAGTCTGCGATCTTAAACGTATTCTTCTTTGTTTCTCAAATCTTTTACTGTGAAAGGAAATGTTTATTGGATCCTCCGGGCATTTACATATTGAACAGTAATAGCTCTTCTCTAGACCAATTGCATTATTTCATTTTTGACAGTAACATTACTCTGGTTTATATTCATAGAGGTACTTTTTCATTCCATTATTTAAATTGTTCTATTAACAGTTTGTTACTATTTTGCAGGAGCTGCAGAATGAAGTTGGAGCACTGCTGGAATTCCGAGAGGTGGTCATGGAGGCGTTCCCCCAGCTGCGGAGCAAGCTGCGAAGCTCGGGGTCGTCCCGGTGGGAGCCCGGCGTCCGGGTCAAGAGGAAGCCACGGCCCGAGGAGCCTCGCTCTCGCTCCAACTCGCGCTCGTCCAAGGCGGCCTCGTCGGTGGTGGCCGACTCCGGATTCTGCACCAAGCCGGCCGAGCCGAGCGAGGACGAGCTATGGACTTTGCTAGAACTGATCCAAGCCAAGGGCACGCGGCTCAGGCTGGAAGCAGAGACCCTCCGCTCCAGGAGTCTGTCCGATCTGTCACCCGACCGGCTACAGGCCCTCCTCCAGGTATGTAAAATTACAATAAACCTAATACAAAATAAACATTTTATCATCTTGATTGTTGTTAATTGTTTAACAAAAGTAGACTTACCGCTGCCGATATGAAATATCTGAGAAGAGTAGCTGGCCGAACTGGAAGAGATTGCATCCGAAACGAACAGATTAGAGAAAATGTTAAGGTGCCACCAATGCTGGAAACCGTGGAAAAGAAAACACTCAAATGGTTCGGCCACGTTATAAGGATGGACGAGGACAGGGAACCCAGACTATATTTTCAGGCAACACAGAAAGAGCCCAACAGGAAGTCCACGGAAAACTTGGATTGACGAAGTGACCAAGCTCGGACAGAAAAGGGGCGAACAGTTTGGTCATATGAGAGATCTGGCGAAGGACTGTGATGACTGGCGTAAATGGGTGGAGGCCCCTCCAAAGGCACTAAGGAGGAAGACAAAGAATAAGAAGAACCAGGTTGTTGTTAATTAATTATCAATATAACCAAAAGGAGTATTTAGTATTTGAAATAATATTCCATAACCAGCAAGTCAATATTTCACAAATATCGGGCATCTCCAAAATGAGAAAAGTTGAAATTACTTTCATGTAGACCAAAGTATGTCTGTGTGCCTGACTTTCCATAACAGGGTTAGGTGCATCACTACGACTAGATTTCTTGTTAAATAAAACATGGTTATCCAGTGTCTGATTGTGTTGTGAAGAGGAAGTGAAGCAAGTTTAAGGATAAGGAAGGAGCATCGGGATTTGAATAGGTAGAGAATTCCAGAATGTTGTGGAGCTCGAAAAAGAGGAGTATTGTAATGGGGCAAATCTGTGAAAAGAGATATAGTATAAAGTTCAGGAGGATGAGATCTTGTGGTAAAGGAATGGATGAAGGATCTGAATTGGAGGTGTTTGTAAACTTTGGGAGGGCAAAGATTCTTGATTATTTGGAAAATTAATGAGTCAACGTATAAGGATCATGAGGATGTCTCCTGAATACTTTATGTTAAAGTTTTAAAGATCAGGCAACTTATATTTATCACCGTGGTGGTAAAAAAAGAAATTATTAATCGAAGAATTAAGGAAGTCAAGGCTATGCTGGTAAGATCTGACAATTAATATCTCCTTAACTAGGACTTAGGTTTGGTCATGATCGGAACACTTCTGTAAGTTAGAATTGAAGATACCTAATCATGTGAACAGATGATACGGTTATATGATAGACCCAATAGTCATTAGTATTCAAGATCATTGAATCATTGAAGATCATTGAACATTTTAATGAAAACGGAATCACTGATAATACCAAGGAGAAAGTAATATCTATGAATTTCTGAATAAAAGAGATTTCTGGAAGGAAACGTAATAGAATGTCTATAAATCAATGCTTTGACCAATATTTGACTGTTGTTCCCAATCTTAGGCAATATTATATAAGCCTCAATATTTGAGGCACTTTGTATCAAAGCAGCAACAAATAGTGTACAAGAAAACAATATAATTTTCATCGTGAAAAGCTTGGAAGAATAATTAATTGATTAATTAATAATAAAGTCCTACTTGTTGAGAATTGGAAAGTTGTTTATTGAGTATTAATTAACAGCTGATGGAAGTTAGTTCAGCCATGGTAAAGAACCTAAATAAAGCTGAACTTTAGAATAGCATCTGATAACTTAGCTAATCGTTGACCGCATGTATGACCTTTGTTATCTCTAGCTATTCTAGTCATATCTGTCCTATCAACTTTATAATTGTCATACAAACAGTATTTATCACTGAGTAACTCCTAGTTCTGTTATCTTACTTAAAAGGATTTTGAAGTAAAGACATCGATACACACACTCGCAAATCTGATATTGCCGAAAAAACGTTTGTTATGTCCACCTGTTTCCAATTAGATCTTTATGACTTTGCGCAATTCTGAAGATGACATCATTGGGCATAATTCAGGTAGTGCTTGTTCTTTTAGATTTAATAGTCAGAAACTTTTGTTTTGTTTGAAAATGTTTTTAGAGGCTTACTATGATATTTTTTTTCTTTTAGCTCTAATTGCAATTCCTGATTTCAGGAGCGGGAGCGACTGCTGAGCCAGCTGTCGGAGATGGAGGCAGAGCGAGCGGCGCGACTGGAGGAGACCCTGCGGCTGTCGCAGAGAGTGGAGGAGCTGACGGAGGAGAAGCAGCGGCTGGAGGCGGCTCTGGCCTCGAGCACGCCCCGCCTCGGGACGCTGGACGGCATCGTGAGCTCTCCGGCGGAGAGGATAGTCTGCCAGGGCGGGGTCTCCCCTTCCAAGGAGGTCACCGCAGCCATCCTCAGGGAGACCAATGTGCTGGAGCTACAGAGGCACCTACTCACCACCTCGTACGAAAACCAGGTAAGTCTCATTCTTCTTTATATATATAGTGTTATGTATCGAGGATGCTGATGTGCGAATTCATTACTATTCATGAATTAAAAAAGGTAACGAAGGTAAACGTTGGATAGGGCAAGTTCTGAGTAGGGTACTCGCTGGGACTTGACTTACATGATTTCAGTGATTACTAGAGAAGCCGATACTAGAGACAGTCTGTTAAAGATCCTTGGAGAAGAAGGTTCAATGAAGAGTTCATATTAAGTCGCTTGTAAGTGCACTTAGAAGTGTCTAACAAAGATGAAAGAATTGGCTACTAGGTAGACATAGGAAGCCGCCAAGAAAGTACATCGAGAGGGCTACTTATTCATATTGAAAATATATCATTGATATATTTTTGAATAGATCGATTCCTTACAGAAACCGATAGAAATATGATAAATGCACACAAATTCCCACTTGTCTTGGAAAAGCAGATTGCCAGAAACGTAGCTATACTAAGTTCTACATATAGAACAAAGGTCATACATAACCTTTGCATCTGTTATTACTTGGCCAGTTAGTGAACAACGAGGAGTGGAAGAAATGGTAGAAGAAAGAAGTCAGGCTGGTTTGTTATGCGTTATGGTATACCTTATACGCCCGCCATATGCAACGATATTGTGTGCTTGTATAACGTAGTTTAGTTATTTTTACCTGCATTTTAAACTCTCAAGACCAGTTGCTCCAACTCAGTAAAGCTTAGATTAAGCGTTATCTAAGATTAAACCAAATTCAATCTTAATCGATCGACCTTAGAAAACTTGTTTTAATCTTAGATAACGCTTAATCTAAGCTTTACTGAGTTGGAGCAACTGGCCCTTAGTAGAAAAGCAAAACGCAGTTTACGCGGTATGTGTTCAGGCTTTATTTGATTAGTAAATAGTAAAATTATTCTTGAAATTATTGATATGTATCGAATAATCTTTTATTATTATCAGGCAAATCCATTCTTTGCTTCCACTTTATTTATCACGTAAAACCTCTCTCTGGATTTAAATTGAATTTGAACGAACTGAGTCATTAATTTATATATATATATATATATATGTATATAAAACAAATATGAAGGACAGTATGAAGGACTGGTCGACCAATTTTCCAACATAACACAACACTAAACTATCTCTTCAGCCTGGGTTGTCTACTTTAGGCAGTCGCTAGCCACGGCATTACGACACCTTCAATCACTAAGTTAACATAGGTAAGGGGGGCAGGATTTCAATCTGAAATTATAATGTATGTAATTTATCTAAAATATATATATAAATGTTTCAAGAAAAAAAATATAAAATGGGGCATATCTGTTGTAATTTTACCTTTATTTTAACTCAATAAAAAAAAAAGTTACCGAAATTATTTCATATCTATTTGTTTCAGTGATAATTATGCAATACAATTTCGTATCAGTTTATTGATGTCATATATAGATTAAAATAAATAAACCATTGGGGGTAAATTGGATTTCAAATATTGCGTTTTCGGTTAAGCATGGTATGATTAAAATGAGGACTATTTTTTATATAATTGTAATACATATTACACACATTAATTGGATATAGGATATATTTAAAAGTCATCAAACTTATCCTCATTTTCTTGTTTCATATCTCATTGCCGGTTGAAAACTGGTCTGTGATAGTCAGCTGTCGATACTTGGTTAGCGATGCTAAATAGTAATCTGTACCTTCAGTTTGATTTTTTTTTTTTTTATTTCTACCTTTTTTCCTCTTTGCGAAAAGAAAGCTGACACGAGCCGGCAAGTTTATTTTTTAGTTGTTTTTTCGTCCAATCCAATCAACCATCGCTTGGAGTGAAGCAGGTCTAATTGAAGCTGAAAGATCAAATAACTTTCTTAGGTTACAAGCTCTTTTTTTTTACCCTCACCACTTTGAGGAAATTCTCCCTCCGTTTTCCTCCTTAGACAATTTTTCTTCGTTTGTTAATTGCCAGCAACTTTCCCTATCGTAGAAGAGATGGGACGCGACCTTTGTGAAGTCCTCTTCCAGTCGTACTTTCCCTCTGACTTAGATGAATAAATGAACTGAAGAAAACGTGCGATGGTTGTTAGAAGTTAAAACATTTATCGATTTGCGCTTTCAGGCGGTGGCTAGGCACGTACGAGTAAGGGCTTCGTTGGCAGTAGGGGCTTGCTCAACACTGTCTTGAAAGCTTTATTTTATCTAATAGCTGAGATTTTTTTCTTCCAGTTGACGATAAGTATTACTAAGGTTTAGTAAAGGCCCGACACTCGGGAGCAAGGATTGTTCTGCTTTCCCCTAATATTTTATGAAGGGGGCCAAATATTTAAAATAACTCATAAAAAGCTCGATAAACTGTATAGATAATAATGATATAACAAATAGGCTGGTCTGAATGTTTCGCTAAGTCCGTATAAAAATGGTAATATAACATAGAAATAAATAAATTAAATGCACTATGAGAGGGACTATTTTTTTTTTTTTTTTTAACGATTACAACGATTTTTTCCAAATATTTGTTTTGTTATTTGTTTATTGAGTGAGTGATATAATACATAGAAAGTAATTATAGTCAGGTAAGGCTATATTCACACCATATATACAGAAAGAATTAAATAAACATAAGCTAAATTACAACTAAATATTAGTAAAAAATTATACACAATAAATAAAAATAAAATAGCTTAATGATGAATAAATTCATATATTTAAAAAAAAAAAATACCAGCCAACTGTATCTTTGCCAAAAATGATCCAATTTTTTAGATTTTTTTTTCGTTTTATAAAGAATTTGGAAACCTTTCAAACTCTATATACCACAAGATGTCATCAATATTTTTAGTTTTGCCCCAATAAAAAAATCCTTTTCTTTTTTGCCTTATTGTTCTTGGAGTTGTACTTATATTTCCCACATGGAGATGAAGATAATATTCAAAATGATGGTTCAGTTATTGGATTTGATGAATTATCGAAAATAAGGCATTCCGACTAGAGTTTGAAACTTTTATGGGACTTTTTAACAGTTTCTGTAAAACGTTTTAGGACATTTTTTGTAGTAAAGTTCTTGGTTTATGGTAAAAATTTAAATTGTATTTATTTAAGTTCCGTTAAATAAGAAATAAACAATAATAGGCTTTGATTAGATTTATTTATTTATTTATAAATGTTTTGTACTCTAGATTTATAATTTATCTTAAACGACTTACAACGTGTCCTTTGTTTGAGTAGTTAAGAATAAAAATAATTTTTTATATCGACTTTTCAGTGAAATCTACGGAAGTTTTGGGTAAGCGTTTGTTTAAAAAATAAAAGTTCTGTAAAACATATACTTGCAAAATTGCAAAGAAAAAAGTTCTAGTTCCAGAAGAATTAAATAACTATCGGCAATAAAAGTTCCAGTGATGCCAACATTTTTTAAAAATAACAGTTTTTTTCCGTTTCAAGCCCTGAGTTTCGAAACAAAAAACACCTTTGAAAAATAATATATTATTATATAAATAGATAATAAACTTATCACTGAACTATTCCCTAGAAGTCTCAAAGAAAAACCTCTTAGTTTATTAGATATAGATCATTCCCTGTCCATGATATATTTATTTTGAATCACATTGTAATCCCACTTAAGTTGAATGTCTTAAGCCTAAATTTGTTGAAATAGGCCCCAAAGCAGCCCTCCTCTTCTCTCACTCTTTTTGCCTTACTATATTCTTCTGAGACAGAACAATTATCATGCCCTGAATATTCTTTTCCTGTTGTTGGGTTCTAACCACCCGTGCCGGTAGCCTATCCTTAGTCCATTGGTTTATTAGAGCATAAGTTTCCTGTTTACTGCCGTCTCTTATAAATATTTTGTAGAGTTTAATAAAATAAAATAATAAATAATAATTAACGTATCCCCCAATCTTGAAGAGAGGGTCTATCATTTTTTTTCATTTTGACTAACAAAATCTATGGGCATACATAGTGTCACTGATTTGAACATTTTGCATTATAATGGATCGAAATATGTTAGACCTGTGTCCAAGGTTTCTTGCCAGTACGCCCTAGGAGTCGAGAAAAAAATATTTTACTAAATTTTAACATATTTTTAATATTATTGTCATCTGCCTTTACCCTGAATGGATTTCTTCTATAATATAATATATCAGTGTATTTTTTTTTTTTTTTTTTTTTTTTTTTTTTTTTTTTTTTTTTTTTTTTTTTTTTTTTTTTTTTTTTTTTTTGTAAAATAAGAAAATCCTACTGCTGATCTTATTGAAGGAATGCAAATGTATAATAAATTACCATAGTCAAAAAGACCCTTACAGTAATGTAGGGTAAGCAAATATTTTTTCATGAAAAACCAATTCAGATTTATTATTAGCATCGTTTAAAACTCTTAAATACGTATTTATTTTGAAATTAAAAATTATAAATTTTTGGATTTTATTGAAGGGGATTTTTTTCTCATGCCGCTTAATAAAATCATTCCATAGCTCATCAGGATTTTTTTCTAATTCAACGCTACTACAACCGTTGGAAAGCTGAATTATTGCTCTTCGAAGCCATATCAATAACATTTAGAATTCATTTCTTCAATTCTAATTTATTTACGAGGGTCTAATTATGCGATTTCGTGTAGTTTACAGCGCCCTAAAGTCTTGATCATTTTCGTTTGGATATTTAGAGTCATATTGAATCTATTACAACTATATATATATAATATGATTTCTGAAAAAAAAAGATGAAAATTTTGATTATAATTAGACCCAAATATGGGTCTAATTATAATCAAAATTTTCATGAACCTCCCCTTGTTAGGGGAACTTGTCGAATTTCCCGGTTCTAACCGCTTTACTTCCAGCACTGAATTTAAAATTATCCGATTCAATCTCTCTCTCATATTTACAAATCAATAAACGTTACAAATATAAATAAAATATTCAGAGCGTTATAAGCAGAAAATTGAATCGGTATAGCGAATATAGTTTCAAAGGAAAACCACCAACAGAGTTCGGAACCGAG